CAATCTTATTTCAATAATTCACCTACCCGTAGGGGCCTTTATCAGTGGAGGGAAATCGTAGGACCCACGACGTTGGGCAGGAGAAATGTCTCATTTTCTTCTCTATCAGCGTTAATGATCACGAACATACATCATGCAGTGTGCTCTGGTGGAAGTTTTGCCAGGGAAGCTGCGGTACGACCTACTCTTATTTCAAATTGCACCACTGAAACAGGAAAACCCCGAAGAGCTTTCTCGGCTAACACTGTAATCGAACCCGGGACAGTCACTTAGAGGGATAATATCGATCAGAGTTAACGATCAGAGTTAATTAGTTCACAATATTAACTTTTTTCCTTCTGCAAATTAAATTCTAGAATATTTTTTTGAAATAACAGAAAAGTAAATAAAGGTGTTTGAAGTATATCTGGATATAAACAAAAATATTACATAATTAGTGTAAATGGGTATGTAAAATAAGTAAAAGGCACCATTTTACCCGGACCAGTTTACACTACATCTTATGTAAACAGTACACACGATATCGTGCCAATGGTCGACGCCGGATGATGTGATATCACACGTAGAAGGGAATTTAAACCCATAAAGGTCAGTCAGTCATCTTACACGAGGTTAGAAGAGGGCTTACACATTATCTCTAAAAGATAGATTGTCACCGAGGCTGCCACTCTTGCCACTTATTTAGATTTTAGCAGTGGCAATGTACTGCACATGACATGGTGTATACTTACCCATTCTAGAACACATAATATTGCCTGTGATGTGAAATTCTACTTGACGATCGACATTTTAGAGAAAAAAAAAGAAATATCGACTGACCTCTCTTAACCTATAAAATGAAAGGTGTATTTAATGTTCATGGTACAAACTTAATAAAATTATGTAATTTTGTATCAACACAGGGTACAATTTTATGGATACACAATTACTGAGTTTAATACTAAGCGACGTTTCGACGAGGATACTCTCGAAACGTCGCTTAGTATTAAACTCTGTAATTGTGTATCCATAAAATTGTGTACAATTACTAAAAGCCAATCAAAGAAGATAAATTTGTATCATTTCATGATAAATCATATGTAAATGTATATTCATGTATCGTCGAATAAAGATTATAATGCACCAACGATTTTGTTTCTTGTAAATGTTACTATTATGCGGCTCAATATAATGAAATTGTGCAATATAAGGATAATGCACGTATCTGTATTTAAACATGCATTATATAACATTAGGATAAAGTGCTGGCAGTTCTCGCTTTAATAGTTAAAAAAATAGATAATGTAAAGGGAATATGCTGCAAATGTCAGTAAAATTACTTCAGTTATCGTCGATTATTAAACAGTGAAGCCACGATTGTCATTGCTACCGTTGTAACCATAATAAGACTTTGTTTATCCACTTTTAAATTAAATTATTAACCGCAAATCGTATTTAAATCTGTTTAAAAATCTGCAGCTCCGATGTCGTCGAGAATTGATTATACTATTGGCAAGTTGATAAATGTCCAATTAAATATAAAACATTAAAGACTCAAAGAAGGAAGGGGAGTTGGATGGCCGAATGGCTAGCGCGTGCGCCTTGTATCATAAGGTCTGTCATTGAGTCACCGTGTGTGGTTTCGATTCCCCGGTTGTACGTGACAAGGAGTACGGTGGATTGTCCAACCTCGTGGGTTTCCTCCGGTTTCTCTGGTTTCCTCCCACTGCAATAGACCCCTACGCGCAAGCGAATTATTGAAATATAACTGAACCATATGTTAGTCCCGAAATGACCTAGTTTTATGTCGAGTAGACGTTAAACCCAACTCCCCCTCTCTTTACGACCCAAGAACGTCCTGCAGTGAGCAGATTTTGCTCTTGAATAACGCTCCTTTAACTATGCATGCATGTAAGATAAATTATACAAATAAAGCACCTTGATGCGAAAATACAAATTTAAGAGCAACAACGTGAAGGCCATAAAAAGTGACAATTTCAAAATAGATATTCAATTAAAATAGGAATCCGGATGTTTTTTTCAATAAATGAAAATAGTTAAAAGAGATAAATATGTTTCAAAAATATTTCAATGTAGCAACCAGATAAAACGATCATGCGTGAACAAATCGTGGCCGCACGAATCTTGGTAAACAAAAATTCCAAGAATAGATTTTAAGATTATGATAAACAATTTATTCATTGCCGGATGTTCCGATATTATTAATGCCTCATTCATCTTAGAATTAGTAAACAGGATCTTATCCAAAGTTGGTGACCCATAAATTGCACGTAAATATGAATAATACTTATCTACAAATTATTTATAGCTGTAAGGACGCTAAACAGGATTACGTCATGCGCATTGACTTTGAACAAAAGATTGCATACTCGTCACTAGTGTAAAACGATACAAAAACAAAAAAACGAGATAATCCCCTTTAACACGTGTTGTCGTTTTGCCGGATTTATGTCTCAATATGCAATTGTAAAGAAAACAGTATTGGTAATTTTAATGTTCGTGACAAAGGTTTTGGGTATAATGAATATCAGTTGTATATTTCTCAGAAACTGCGCCTAAATTAAAAACTGAAAACACTGGTATATCGGGTGACCCATCCCAAAAAAACGAGTACATTATTTACAGTGGAAAACTTTAAGTATTTTACTTCTACTGAAATGAAATGGAATGAAATGAAATGGGGTTTAACGTCCTACTGTTCTGCTCCAAACTAGGATAATGAAGACGGACATACGCCAAACAGTGTGCTATGAGGGAAATTTTGCCCGGACAGCGGCACTACGGCCTACTCTTATATCGAATTTAAACTGCCAAGGGATCTTTTACGTGCACGTCAATGTGTACAACGGATCCCCGTTTTTCTTCCCATCCGAACGACTAGACAGCTGTCCTTGTCAGGCCCTCCGGCCTGCATCACTGACAACTGAGAACCACGCCGAAAATCTGGATGATCTTTCTCGGCCAATGCAGGGATCGAACACCCACTTAGCTACCGTGACCCCCACTTTACTTATACGGACCTGCTATTTGGAGGAGAGAGAGAGATGAGGTTTAACGTCCACTCGGGACTAACGTATGGTTCTTTTTTATTTCAACAATTCGCTTGCGCTTATGGGTCTTTAGCAGTGGGAGTAAACAGGAGGACCCGGAGAAAACCCACGAGGTTGGACAGACGACCCTACTCCTTGTCACGTACAACCGGGGAATCGAAACCACGTCAGTTCAGTCAATGACAGATCTTATGATACAATGCGCAGTTGCTAACCATTCGGCCCGTCTGAATGGCACAGAACTTAGTAACTTTACCATTGTGCTTACGGTTCAAGCACTTCAAACGAAGGAGGTATATTATCTGTGTTAGACTTCAACAAAGATCTGACAAAATCAGAACTGCTCCAAAATACTCCCTGTGACTTGAACCAATTTACTAATCTATTTGTACAACTCGACGGATATAATACCCAAAAGTCTCTAAGTGTGTTAGAATTACGCCTAAATCGCCACTGTAATATGAGAACATCTACCTAAATAAACATGCGGGAAGGAAAGAGGGGAACATGGGCGGGAATCCCATTTAGAGATCTATCGACAAATTTATGTTAATAAACGCTTTAAGACTTCAAAGACCGAATACCAGATCACACCTAACACTGACAAGGCTTCAGAGACCGAATACATTAACGACCAGATCACATCTAACACTGGCAAGTCTTCAAAGACCGAATACCAGATCACATCTAACACTAGCAAGGCTTTATAAAGACCGAATACATTAAAGACCAGATCACATTTAACATTGGCAATTCTGAAGCTCTTTATTCTTTTATGTTCTCTTTAATGGACAACCGTGATGTGGTAAAGTTCCCTATCGTTAATAATGATACTGAGTCCCTCGTAATAAAATTCAGTACCCTTTTCCATAATAAGATCGCAACAATCCAGCAGTCGATTAATCAACACGACGATTCTAATAGTGCCTTTAACAACCCTGATTATTCCGGTACTTTAATGGGATCTTTCACTGGCTGTGGCATTCAGATAAATCAGATCAACTCAGATAAATCAGAATGTGTTTCCCTAGAGTGTGGTGTTCCTCAAGGTTCTGTTTATGACCTGTTTTATTTACCATGAATACAAAGCAACTTAGAGGTGTTCTAAATCATAAATTATGTATGGTGCCCGTCTTCATTAAGCCAGTATAAGAGTAGAACATTAGGACGTTAAACTCCATTTCATTTCATAATTCTGTATGCTGAAGATAATGAACTGTTTGATTCGTCTATTTCTGAATCAGATCAAAGTATCGGGCAATACAAATTAAAACCTGGATGAATTGAGATCGCGTGGTACTAAATGTACTTTTCGGCTCCAAGGCTCGATTATCGAACCCCTCGTACTGTAAATTTCAATGGACAATGCTACTGTCATCTGATTCGAAAATACAATAAAGAGAAATTTAAAAAATGAATGTGAGAGAAAGAGAGAGAAATGGGGTTTAACGTCCACTCGACACAAACTAGGTCATTTCGGGACTAACATATGGTTTAATTTTATTTCAATAATTCGGTTGCGCGTAGGGGTCTTTGGCAGTGGGAGGAAACCGGAGGACCCGGAGAAAACCCACGAGGTTGGACAGGCGACCGTACTCCTTGTCACGTACCACGCCAGTCGACTCAATTACAGACTTTATGATACAGCGCGCGCACGCTAACCATTCAGCCATCCACCCCCACCCCCCCACCCCAATGAATGTAAATTCTAACACTCATTTTACGTTAATATGTGTTCTACACTCTTTGACCTATGCGGAACATATCGACTTATTAAGGGATTGATTTATTGTATACGCACAGTGTAGTTGACAGAGAGCCAAGTTTATTTTAGTATTCCCCCCGTTTTTTTCGAAAAAGGACCTAAAATATATCCTATTCTTTTAAGAATAAGGGGAGTGTACATGTATCAGACCACTGATTCACAATAAGCCCTTACAATTCAGATTTCATATAAAAAGACCCTAATCCGCAGCAATTGAATCATTCAGTCGAAGTTAACCAAAGAACAGTTAACCGAAAGAGTAAGTATAGAAACTTATATTATAAAACATACCTATCTTAAATATACGTTTTATTGAACCATGAACTGATCGCTTATCGCAACTCATCTTGTTCTTCTTCTTCTTGTTCTTGGGGTGACGCTCTTCGAACAAGCCCAAGGCTCCGTCAATTCAAGTCCAATTGACATGAACATAGGCATGCTGGTTCTCTAAACAATTCTGCATCGTTTTAAGGAATCCGATTTTTGAATTTTATCCTCCGAATAAACTTATGACGTTAAAGCTGTGCCAGCCTTCGTTAAAGACCCCACAAGCATGGTCAGTTCCTGGTTAAACATACGTTATGCAAGAGCTTAATCTGCCTATTGCAGGTCTTTAGTTAAGCCTTAAATGTTATCTAAATTATTAATTAGCCATTAATTAACTCAACTGCGATATTAACTGGATATTCAATCGCTAAATTCAGAGTGGATCAATTTGACTGAAATTTTCAGCAAATTCCCCTTACATTGTCTAGTGTGTAACTATTATAGTGAGAACTGTCAGCTATTTATCTTATCTCCCATAATGTATCTTTAATAGTACGATCGTACTTGTTGTTTTTTTTAAATACATCGATCTTTAGCGATTATCAAGAAAGAGTAGCATAGAGATTATCATAAAGTTTATAGTTTTCATGCAACACTTCTTCTATTTGTCTTTTGATCAATAACATTATATATTCGAAATATTTCAGATTTTATCATTTACAGTCACAATGAAAAATCTAATATTGGTTGCTGCCTTGGTGGCTTTACATGCAGCATTTACAAGTAAGAATATTATTATATGTTCTAAGTTGTTATTATCCAATACTGTGGATATACATTTTATCTACAATTCGATTGTTCTGCCGTAGTGCTGTTTTCTGGGGGTTGTACCTTATTCCAACACTAACTTACTCGGAATAAATAATTAATATTGTATTTTTAATAAAGGAGTGTCACAATAACGTGATAGGTATCGCTAGGTCGAGTCGATCACCTAACTAGAATTACAGAAGAATATAGAATATATATAAAGTTTATGATTAAAATAATTATATAATAATATTTGATAAAAAATGTTAAATTTCACATTTAACCCAGTTAAAGATTTGAAAGATTAATGAGATATCAATTCGGGCATTGGTCAATTACTATTTTTTCTAAAATTAAATAGTAATAAAATATATACAAAGATACACTACAACAGGTTTTTTTTATTATTAACATCAGTTCTTATTTTCCGATTCTGTGAATTTATCAGAAACTAATTCGATAGTGCCTTTGAGGATATTTTTTCTTGATTATTTTGATTCTCTGAAAATAAAATAATTTCAATTCATTGCTTTTTTATAATTCCTGTGTGTTAAATTTACTTTGATATACTATAGCATACATAGACAATCATAAAGGTGAGCGGGTGCGCGCTGTATCATTAGATCTGTTATTGAATCAACTGGCGTGGGTTCGATTCCTCGGTTGTACGTGACATGGAGTAAGGTCGCCTCTCTCTCTCTCTCTCTCACACACACTCTCTCTCTCTCTCGCTTTCTCTCTCTTGTTGCTAGCGCTGCTAAATCACCTCAATATAATAATTTCTTATCTTATTGTCCATCTTTCGATCAACAGATTCTACAGGATGCCAACAATTTATTGACGTTATAGCCGTTGTCGATGGTTCGGACAGTGTCGGAAGATCAGATTTTGATTCAGTACAGGATTCCTTGAGAGTATTTGTTTCATCATTGGGGGTGAGCTCATCAGTCCGGTTTGGCGTTGTCGTCTACAGTTCTGAAGTAGGAGATGTCATTCCATTATCAGGCGATGCTAGTTCTATAAGTAATCAAATTGATAATCTTAACCATACACGTTTAGGAACACGCACCGACTTGGGTATCGCCAGAATGATTCAGATGTTCGGGGCTTCTTCAAGCCCTAAAGTTGGTATTGTCATCACCGGTAAGAAACTTTATATTAACAAATATTTTTTTTTATTATTATTATTATCGACATTTTCTATTCCTAATCATACACGGAATACAAAATGTAGTCATGCCTGCTAGAAACATAGATATTGCCAAAATATCAAGCAGTGTATAGTATCCAGATATAGGTAATATAAGTACATTTCTTTTACTGCAATCTCAGAACTATAGACAATTATATAATGTACTTAACCCAAGTTTTAAGCCCATGAAATTTCAGTGCACTGTTAACAGATTTGTTTTCACGATTAGCAGAATATCTGCTAAAATCCTTTGTTTTTGTAACACGAATTTTAATTAATTTTAATTTTTAATTAATCAGACGGGGAATCTTTATTTCCGAATATAACATTGTCTCAAGCAACAAGTGCAAAAGCGGACAACGTTAATATGTTTGCCATCGGAGTCGGAGCATTTATTAATACCCAGGAACTAAATGGTATAGCCTCATCAACTAATCAAGTATTATCTGTCACCGATTACACGGCACTTGCCCAACAGATAACCAGTCTAGTGTTGGAAATCTGTCCAAGTAAGTATAACAATATAACAATGTAATTAAAACACAAGTTCTATTTCGTTTCGTTTGTTTTTAGTTCAAAATTTCAAAGAGGTCATTGAAACGAAACGAAATATAATCTGTATCTTGTTGTTGTCGGTGTTCTTGGGGGGAGATGATCTGCGAAAAAAGGTCCACGGATCCCCACAAATGCATGTACGATTGACCTGAAACTTGGCATGATAGTTCCTTGGACAACTGCGCATCGATCAGCGAGCGTCGATTTGTAATGTGACGTTACAAGTAAGTATAATAATATAACTGTTTCTTGAGCCACTGATCGAACCAAGCGCTACTCATCTTTTTCTTGCTGTCGATGTTCTCGGTCAACATCGGGATCGAACCCAGTATCTCCTGGTTGCCGAACCAACGTCTTATTCTCACTGATCCACCGCGGTTTCTAATGGTAGTATACTAGCAATGGTTCGGCAATGATAACGCAGTGAGAGAACATATTTATAGTACCTGTCATTTTGTTTAAATGCTACTTTTCTGAATAATTTCAGCTACTACCCAACCAACAACAACTACCCCAACAACAACAACAACTACCCAAACAACAACAACAACTACCCAACCAACAACAACTACCCAAACAACTCGTCCAACTACCCAAACAACATCTACTCATCCATGTGATGGCTGTGCAATGGTTAACGGTATTGGATACAACCCACACACAGAATGTGATAAATATATCCAATGTGAATTTACCACAGATCTCACCTTACTTCGATACCACGTAAAACAATGTGGATATGGAACTTTCTGGAATCAAGATAAACTGACCTGTGATCATATTGGCAATGTCGCCTGTGATAATGGTAAGATTTCTATTGGCTTTCGTAAGTAAAGTGGGATGTTGGGTGGCCGAACGGTGTAAAGCGTGTACATTACATCATAGGGTCTCTGATTGAGTCAAGTGGCTAGGTTTGGATTACTAGCCAGTAATTTGACAAGGAGTATGTACAGCTCGGTGGGGTAAGGGCTTGGGTAGCCGAATGGTGCTACGCGGATGTGTAAGGTCTTTCATTGAGTCGAGGTGGGTTACAGTGGCTAAACGGGCAAGACGCTGGCTTGCTAGCCTGGAAGTCGAGTGTTCGATCCCTGCATTAGCCGCGAAAGTTCATCTTGTTTACCCAGTTACAGTAAACAGGAACTATTTTGTATGCAGACAGCCTGTCAACACATTAAATGATTGTTTTAGACTTTAATTTGCAGAAGAAAAAAAGGTAATATTGAGAGTTGATAAACTCGCCTCATTGTCATCTCTTTCAAGCGAATATTTACCGCTGATCGGGTTTATAGTATTCCTATTCATTACACGGTACCAATCTGATTAAGCCACAGATCCTATTTCGTTTCGTTTTTTTATAGTTCAAAATTTTGTTTTACTTGTCTTTACTACACTAGGGTCTGGAAGGGTTGTTATATTACCGGCGTTCTGTTTGAATTGAGCGATTAGCCAATGAAACGGTCTGTTACGGCGAGTTATTGGCGTGCAATGCACTGAACTATGGGTAAAACCACTAGAAACGTTTACGTTGATTGATTATAAATCAAACTCTAACGTCATAGGGTCACAAGCCGCTCGTCCGATCCCCTGACGTGACCTTCCAGTATAACCGGCCAGATCTTCATGTAGTGTAGGCCATCGAAAGTATAAAAAACGAAACGAAATATAGATCTGTATTTTAATCAGATTGTCACGATACACGCATAATGCACACCGCTGTTTGGTTACATTTTTATTTACAGACCCATGTAAAATAAGTCCTCCTGGCAGTTCATACAAGACAGCTGGAAATTGTGCTCAGTATTACAGATGTGTTAATGGTAAAACCCAAGTCAGAACATGTAGATCTGGATATTCCTATTCACTTTATGGCTACTGTACTACAGATACTTCATGCAGTCACAATAATGCTGATCCAGTCGGTTCTGGTATGTAAGCATACATAATTTATTTTTAAATAGAATATCCTTTCTGTCGGGGGAAGATGGTGGTCGAATAAATGCGCCTGTCATTGATTCTAGTGGCTTGTCCATCCTCGTGATTTTTCCCGGGTCCCACGATTCTCTCCCACCTCTAAAGACCCCTTGGTGCATGTCATTTATTGAAACAAATTGAACCATAGGTTATAGCATATCACCTCCAGTAGAGCTATATTTCGCTAAAGTACATGGGGAGTGGGATGGCCTAGTGGTCTAGAGTGCCGCGATTCGACCTCTAACTGGCCGATCACCTCTGGCTTGCGGTTGTGGTTTCGATCCCGGGTGTGAGCGTATGTGGCTTGGAGATAGGGGCGCCTTCTCAACCTCGTGGGTTTATTCCAGATACTCCTGCTCGGGCGCTAAGATAATAAACAACTTGTCTGTGATTATCACCTTCGGTGGAACCAGGCGTTAAGTACTAAGAACAACAACGTAATAAGTATTACGTTAATACAAAAACATAATATGGGACACACTTACTATTTTAATTAAAGCGACGTTTCGTTGAGGGTTCTCTCAACGTTTTCAAGCAAATGATAGTAATGGTGTTCCATATTATGTTTTTGTATTACGTATGTCAATTGCTAAATGCCGCCCAAAGAAGAAAGTATTAGATTGTTATAAGTTAAAGATGCATTATGCAAGATTTATATATACAGCTGGCCGTTCTTACTATAATAGTTTAAAAATAGATAACTAAGAATAAATATTGAATATTTAATCAAATTACTTTACGCCGAGCGAAGTTATGACTGTTTAGAGATACAGCGTAGATTATTTATCCATGTATCGATCAGGTTCATCCGATGGTCTAGATAGTTCGTTATTGCCATGCCATGTGAATGACTGATATTGACGCCCAAATAAAGACCTTCAATTATGTATTTTTTACAGTGTACTGTCAATTTAAAGAAAGAACTGATGATAAATGTCATTATGATTGGGTTACGGCAATAGGCACATACAAGATGGCTTGTCCACCCGGTACGACTTTTAACCCAGTCAAATGTTCATGTGATACAGAATATGGAACTTCTTGTAATCGTAAGTAAAGACATATAAAAGTTGAATGCTTGCACCCTATCCTATCTAAAACCACCACCAACTACCTCTTCAGAAGTGGGTTGGATGGTCGAATGGTTAGCATGTGCGCTTTGTATCATAAGGTCTGTCATTGAGTCAACTGGCGTGGTTTCGATTCCCCGGTTGTACGTGACAAGGAGTAGGGTCGCCTGTCCAACCTCGTAGGTTTTCTCCGGGTCCTCCGGTTTCTTCCCACCATATGTTAGTCCCGGAATGACCTAGTTTGTGTCGAATGAACGTTAAACCCCATTATTCTCTCTCTCACCTCTTTAGTATAAATCCAATCTCATTAAAATCCAGATCTATATTTCGTTTCGTTTTTTTTTATACTTTCGATGTCCTCCACTACATGAAGATCTGACCGGTTATAGTGGGAGGTCGCGTCAGGGATCAAAGTCATACACTTGGCTGCTGATCCTATGACGTCAGCCATTTGAACCAATCAGCGTTCATGCGGAAGACTCATTGGCTAATCAACCAGAACGCGTATGACAACCCTTCCGGATCCTAATGTAGTAAAGACAAGTGAAACATAATTTTGACCGGGGGTGGGGGTGGGGGGTCTGTGTTTTAATCAGATTGGTATTGTCTGAATTTACTTTTGGATTTGGATTTATTTTTTACGTCCCGTGCACGTGCGCGCTGTATCATAAGATCTGTCATTGAGTCACCTGGCGTGGTTTCGATTCCCCGGATGTACGTGACATGGAGTTGGGTCGCCTGTCCAACCTCGTGGGTTTTCCCTGGGTCCTCTCCTCTGGTTTCCTCCCTACGCGCAGGCGAAATATTGAAATAAAATTGAACCATATGTTAGTCCCGAAATGACCTAGTTTGTGTCGAGTGGACGTTAATACCCCCTCTCTCTCTCTCTCTCTCTCTCTCTCTCTCTCTCTCTCTCTCTCTCTCTATTTGGTTTAATCATTTGTATATTATCATCCAGAGTTTCATGTTTTAAACGTTTCATTCAATTTCAGCTCTCTGTAAGCCAATCGTGGACATTCAATTCAACCCATCCGAATCTGCAGAGTATGACAACGATGGGGCTCTAATCCATAATGGTAAAGCTTATTTCAATGGCAACGCCGCCATCAGGATTCTGACATTGGCTAATGTTGACTTTCAATCTAAAATTAACATAAAGGTCCGGTATCTCGTGGAATCGTATAGTTCTCAAACACAAGCCGTGGTTACCAATGGTGATTGTGGTAAACAACCGTCCATAAGCATAGGCAACCGAAATAACAATGTCCAATTCAACCTCGAGGATACTACAAACGCCAACCACACTCTTGTTGTTAATTCTCATGTAAGTATATATATTTATCACCCAATAATACAGTCTACAGTAGATATCGCTTGTGTGATAAATTTCATAATCTACTGCGATATCTCCTAATTTGTGTCGAGTGGACGTTAAACCCCATTTATCTCCCTCTCTCTCTCTCTCTCTCTCTCTCTCTCTCCTAGGGAGATCACCATGAACTAGAATCTCGCCAAACTATGTATTTTATTTTATTCCACATTAAAGCTTTTTATAGTTGTGTTGGTTTGTTTAAATTATGGACAAGATTGTCGCCAAACTATGTATTCTTTATTCACAGACGACCATTACCAAAATGGACGAACATTTTAAACATTATTAGTATTTTAAACGTTGTTTTCTTATCAGTTAAAATGGCGGACAGTTGAATACAGTCTGGATAATGGAGTATTTACAGCCAGAGTTAACTCTGCCAGTACTAGAAAAAATATCCCAGGTATGATTGTTGTCCTGTTTTACCATACTGTGCGATTTGCAGGGTAATATGTACTACGTTTGTATATTTTTATATACGATGCAGTATAACTATGCTATTTTAAAATTTCTGTTTAGGCCTATGGGGCGGTGGGAGGCACGGGTAACTTCAGAACTGAAATCACAAACACACGATATCGGAGAGAGAACATAATAAATGAAATACAGAAACTAATTAAACATGCGAGAGGTAAATCTGTCTATTGCGGGTCTTTCATTCGGCCTGAAATGTTATATAAACTATTAATTAGCCATTTATTAACATGAAAAGACCATAATCAACTCTCGGTGCCATCTTATCTGTCCGATTTTCATTGGATTTGAATCTGCTGTTGAACGTCCGTTGACAGCCCTAATAATGACATTCGAGCCTACATATATTTTAAAATAAGGTTTTTTTTTCGGCTTAGCGTGAAGCAATTTGATTCATATTTTCGGCATATTCCCTTTACATCATATTGTTTTTAACTATTATAGTGAGAACTACCAGGTTTTTTTTATATAATCTTCCATAATGTATCTTTAATAAAAATGATCTATATGAGCGACTAAGATCTTTTACTTTTGAAACTAACCCATGATATCATATCTAATTTGCAAGTTACAACGTTCGGATGGGACGAAAAGTCGAGGTCCTGTGTACACATTAAAATATAATAATAATTAAACATGCATTATGCAAGAGATAAATCTACCTATTGCATGTCTTTCGTTAGGCCCGAAATGTTATATTAAATATTAATTAGCCATTTATTAACATGACAAGAGCATAATCAACTCTCAGTGCCATCTCATCTTATCCCAACGTTCGGATGGGACGAAAAGCCGAGGTCCCCTGTACACATTTGCGTCATGCGTGTACATAAAGAAAACCTTGACAGCTGGGATTCGATATCAGCAGGACGTAGCGCGCTTTATATCGTGTGTCTCATTTTATTTCATATCTAATTATGTTACAGATGCTAAAATACTAAGATCAAAGTGTGCCTTCCAACTAGGTTATGGTACTGGATTCCAGAATTTTAAAGGATGGATTGATTACGTAAGTTCATTTGTTTGTAAATTTGGAGTGTTCTTAATTCTCCCGGTGTTGGCCAGGGAAGTTCCTCTGGAACATTACATTACATCATAGGGTCTCTGAGTCAAGTGGCTAGGTTTGGATTACTAGCCAGTAATTTGACAAGGAGTATGTACAGCTCGGTGGGAAAGGGCTTGGGTGGCCGAATGGTGCTAGGCGGATGTGTTGGGTCTTTCACCTACACATCGTTAGGGTCTTTACGGTGGCTAAGTGGGTAAGACGCTTGCTCGCTAGCCTTGAGGTTGGGTGTTCGATCCCTGCATTAGCCGAGAAGGTTCATCCAGATTTTCCGGCATGGTTGCCCTTTGTCAGTGATGCAGGACGGAGGGGCTGACAAGGACAGCTGTCTAGTCGTTTGGATGTGACAAAAAAACCGAGGTCCAGTGTACACATTGGCGTGCACGTAAAAGATCCCGTGGCAGTTGGAATTCGATATAAGGATAGGCCGTAACGCCACTTCCCGACAACATTTCCCTCATAACACACTATATGGCGTATGTCCATCTTCATTAGCCCAGTCGGTGCAGAAAAGTAGGGCGTTAAACGTAATTTCAATTCATTATTACACATAATCTGAATTGAAAATCGTACCGGATGGAGCAGAAAAAGTATGACGTTGACTCCCATTTTATTTCATTTCTTAATACTTGAGAGTTCGTGGTAGTTATATTCTAGTCTTTTTATAATGAGATTTAGTCCTGAGAGTTCATGGTAGTTATATTCTAGGTATTTTTTATTATGAAAAATTGTCCCGGGTCATCCAGCAACCCCAGTTGAAATAGACATCAAAATCACAAGGTAATTTTTATCGGGGAACGAAAGAGCTTTTTTCATGGTTGCCCAGCAGTGAATCACATACAAATTAATAAACAAATACCATCGATTGTTTTTGTTTTTAAATTAGGAATTAACTAATGTTTTGTAATCTGTTTGGCGATAAGGATGGATTAATTAAGTCCACACGTCACATTAATTTATTTCCACAGTTCAACAATTTTTTTTTTTTTGGGGGGGGGGGGGGGGATGGCTGAATGGTTAGCGTGCGCGCGTTGTATCATAAAGTCTGTCATTGAGTCGACTGGCGTGGTTTCGAATCCCCGGTTGTACGTGGCAAGGAGTAGGGTCGCCTACCCAACCTCGTGGGTTTTCTCCGGGTCCTCCCACTGCTAAAGACCCTTACGCGCAAGCGAATTATGTAAATAAAATTAAAACCATATGTCAGTCCCGAAATGACCTAGTTTGTGTCGAGTGGACGTTAAACCCCATTTCTCTCTCTCTCTCTCTCTCTCTCTCTCTCTCTCTCTCTCAAATTAATTATATTCATTTCATATCTTTTCAGATCACTGTATCAACATGTCCAACCAACTATTTTGCAATTGCTTAATCAATCATGCATGTATGATAACCAAATATATTTAAATTTACTACATTGTTTACTAGAAAGGCTTGATGCCTTTTGATCTTGTACAGTTTTATGCAGACCATCTTGTTTCAGTTTTGTTTTTAAAAAACATGTCTACATTTTAATATATATACCTCAATCTGATTAAAACACAGATCCTATTTCTTTTCGTTTTTTTTATAGTTCAAAATTTCATTTTAGTTGTCTTTACTACACTAGGATCTGGAAAAGTTGTTATATTACAGTCTGTTACGACGAGTCCTTGGCGTGCTGTGCACGGAATTGTGGGTAAACCACTAGAAACGTCAACGCTGATTGATTAATAAATGTTTGACGTCATAGGGTCAAAAGCCGCTCGTTTCACCCCTGACGTGAACTCCCACTGTAACTCGTCAGATCTTCATGTAGTGTAGGCCATCGAAAGTATAAAAAAACGAAACGAAATATAGATCTGTGTTTTAATCAGATTGAATATACCCATACATCTATATTTTAATACTTGTTTAGTGAAATTTACTACGTTGTTCTATTGTTTCATTAAATTATAATCAAAATATTGTTTTCTAGATCAACTTTGTGTTCTTTTGAACTTGTATTGTTTTATGCAAACCAGCTTTGTTTTTAAAATAATTTCTACATTTTATTTAATTCGCTCTGTGATCAAGATATCGTTTTCTGAATAAAATTGTGTTGTTCTATGCAAACCAACTTGTCGCCATTTTGTTTAACATTTTCAACATTTTGATACCCCATACATTTCCAATAACAAAGTAGGGGTCACAGTGGCTAAGTGAGTAAGACGCTTGCTCGCTAGTCTGGAGGTCGGATGTTCCAATCCTGCATTGGCTGAGAAAGTTCATCAAGATTTTCCTGCGTGTTTCCCCCCTTTTCTGTGATGCAGGACGGGGGGGGGGGGCTAACAAACCGAGGTCCCGTGTACAGATTGGCGTGCATGTAAAAGATCCCCTGACAGTTGGAATTCGATATAAGTTTAGGCCGTAGTGCCGCTGTCCGGGAAAAATGTCCCTCATAGCACACTGTATGGTGTATGCCGGTATTCATTAACCCAGTTCGGACCAGAACAGTAGGACGTTAAACCCAATTACATTTCATTACATTTACAATAACAATATATATATATTCGGATGTTTGATTATATAATGTTATGCTGTGTTGTTTATAAATAAATAATGCTTGCAATTTGATTTTTTCGTAGCTTATGTTTGATTAGGATTAAGGTAATCCTTACAAATTGCAGACCGAAACGCCGCTGTCAGGGCAACATTCACATCCAAATATGCACTTAAAAGACCCCTCGTCAGTTGGAATTCGATATAAAAGTAGGCCATAGTACCGCTGTCCGGGAAAAAAAATCCCTCATAGTACACTGTATGGCATAAACCCGTCTTCATTAGCCCGGAAGTGGGTTGGGGTGAACGAAAGGTTAGCACGTGCGCGTTGTATCATAAGGTCTGTCATTCAGTCAACTGGCGTGGTTTCGATTCACCGGTTGTACGTGGCAAGGAATAGGGACGCCTGTCCAACCTCGTGGGCTTTCTCCAGGTCCTCCGGTTGTACGTGACAATGAGTAGGGACGTCTGTCCAACCTCGTGGGCTTCCTCTGGGTCCTCCGGTTTCCTTCCACTGCTCAAGGCCCCTACGCGCAAGCGAATTATTGAAATAATTAGCCCAGTTAAAGCAGAGCAGTAGAACGTAAACCCCATTTCATTTCCATCGATGCACACTTTATGGCGTGTATCCATTATCATTAGCTCCTTCCCGTCTTCATTATACCAGTCGGAGCAGAACAGTAGGACGTTAAACCCCATTTCATTTCATTCCATTTCTTTAGCTTTGTAGATGAGGGGGGTTGGATGGCCGAATGGTTAGCACGAACGAGCGCCGTTTCATACGGTCTGTCATTGAGTCAACTGGCGGGGTTTCAATTCCCAGGTTGTGCGTGACAAGGAGTAGGGTCGCCTGTCCAACCTCGTGGGTTTTCTCCGGGTCCTCCGGTTTCCTCCCACTGCTAAAGACCCCTACGCGCAAGCGAATTATTGAAATAAAACTGAACCATGTGTTAGTCCCGAAATGAACTAGTTTGTGTCGAGTGGACGTTAAACCCCATTTCTCTCCCTCTCTTTGTAGATGACAATAAGTAGGGTGTTAAACTCTTAACTATTTCAGTTTGTATTAATGGGAGACCACTCTTTACATTACACGGTCCGACCTTCCTTTCTACATCGACTGCGCTAGTATTTATCACTTATAGTTTACGTTACCTCCAGTGTCCGTCGTGTCCACGCTTGCGCTTGTACTACCCGAGTATTCTCTACACTCCTTCCAGTAGTAGGGTGACCCATGTACTCACAGAAATACAGTCCACCGCTGATAGTTCGAGACTACCACTGAAGCGTGCACATTCGCCGTGCCGAGACCAACTTTCTGACAGTATGATACTATAAATAGCCATGGCACGTGCAATTCTCTACAAATCTATCAACTATTACAGCCGTAAAAAATTTATTGTTGACGATTTTGAATAGCAGTAAAATTAAGCTTCTTGGTTATTACAGCAGATTTAGAAATTACGTTCGTTTCATTTTTTTAAATCGCTTTATCATTAACTGTACCGTTAAGAGCGGCATCTTTTGGTTTAGTACAAATAATATCTCTGAATCACTCGGGTTAGACAGGAACATGCTACTAGCAGTAGTTTCATTTTACTTTTACAAGCTTCTTAAAAGGATTGTTGAGCTACCTAACGTGCTTATTTCTAAATTCAATTTCTTGTTCTAGCTTTCTGTTATGTTTCGTAAAAAAGTAGTCTTGATTATCCCGACCTGTCAATCAGACGTAGACTGGTCGATAGACTGGTTAATCGAGACTAATTTCAAAACAAGGGCAAGTAACCTATCTTTTACTCAAAAGTGTCTGGATGTTATGGACGACTCTTGGGACCAGTTTTCAGTCTATTATTTATACATGATTAATGGTCATAGCTTATTAAGTACAACATGATCGTTTATTTAGTGACTATAATTGTGTGAAACTGATTTGAGGCTTGGCATATATATAAATATTGTGGCGTAATTGTCGAGATATATGGAGATATTTATTTATGGTGGGTCACCCTACCAGTAGGTGATTAGTCGAACCATTAAAGTTTAAAAGGATTTATAGTCTCGTAACAGTCAATCTCATTAAAACACAGATCATGTTTCGTTTGTTTGTTTTTTTGTTTTTGTTTTTTTCAATATGGATATTGTTTTAAAACTTAAATGACTGGACTACTAAATATACAGGCAGGGACCGTCGCAATTGGGTGGTCGGTAATTATTGAATCATGAACGTCAATATGTCAATATTTTCTTTCTTACTCCATCAGTGCGGATGGCCAGGTGCGTGTGTGATTCATGTTCTATCCGCGGATTATTCGTTTGGACACTTTTGGCACGGTCCTCCCTTGATATATTTCTCTTAAAATTAGTTTTAATTGACACTGTAATTATCGCATTAACCCGACGTGTTATATAAAACATGATTCACGGATCAAATTTCTTCAGATACGTATTGTTTTCTGAACGTATTGTTTTCCCAACGCCTCAATAACATTGTTAATAAGATCGAAAAAAAAACTATAGTGATTAATTAAACAATTATTGGGAGTCTCAAACAAATATAAGTTTACAGAGATTAAACGGTTTCGATGATTGTGTAAATAATCCCTCGAATAACTGAAGCTCAATTGATGTATATATACACAAAGAACTGTGAGAATATTTCCGTTCACGAATCAATAGTAACTGAAAAATAATTCATAATTTTCTATCTGCAGTGTCATTTACCCCCCCCCCCCCCACCACCCCTTTGGGATCACGGTGGTTAAGTGGTTAAGGCGCTGGCTCGTTAGCCTGGAGGTCGGGTGTTCGATCCCTGCATTGGCCGAGAAAGTTCATCCAGATTTTCCACGTGGTTCTCCCTTGTCACTGATGCAGGACGGAGGGGCTGACAAGGACAGCTGTCTAGTCGTTCGGGTGGGACACATTGGCGTGCACGTAAAAGATCCCTTGACAGTTGGATTTCGATATAAGAGTAGGTCGTAGTATCGCTATCCGGGCAAAATTTCCATATGCTGATTACACTATTTTGCCTTATTACACTATTTTGCCTATACCGGTTTTGTATTTTTTTTTTTTTTTTAGGACTTCGAATTTTGTCTAATGGTTTGGATTGTTCGTACTTGGTTTTATTTTATTTTTACCTCATAGCATAATGTATGGCGTATGCCCGTCTTCATTAGCCCAGTTCGGAGCAAAACAGTAGGACGTTAAACCCCATTTCATTTCATTTCATTTAACTCACACAGTTGCAACAGCTACTAATCACCGGCAATAACAGTCAAGTGCTATTTTCTTTTTGAAAATAATGCCCAATATTTTGCATATGGTATGCAACATATACATGTTCATTCAATTGAACTGATTATTTTATATGACATATTAAGATATGCCCTGGTCCAAGTTGTATGGGGAGCCACGGTGGCTGGGTGGTTAAGACGCTGGCTCGCTAGCCTGGAGGTCGGGTGTTCGATCCCTGCATCCGATTTTCCGACGTGGTTTCCCCTTGTCAGTGATGCAGGACGGAGGGCCTAACAAGGACAGCTGTCTAGTTCTTCGGATGAGACGAAAAACCGAGGTCCCGTGTATACACTGGAATGCACGTAAAAGATCCCTTGGCATTTGGAATTCGATATAAGAGTAGGCGATAGTGACGCTGCCCGGGCAAAATTTCCTCATAGCACACTGTATGGCGTATGCCCGTCTTCATTAGCCCAGTATAGGAGCAGAACAGTAGGACGTTAAACCCCATTTCATTTCATTTCATTTCCAAGTTGTATGTGGGTTTTATATATAGATCTTCTTTATCGGTATTACCCGCTTGACTAAACTTTCAATTATCCATAATGTTTTCAGTATTCTTTTATGAAGTCATATAAATTTTGGATATGAATTGTAGACTAGGTAATTACGATACCTTTGCAGCTATCGCAATAAACAATCGTGATTATTTACCTTTATATGCTTTCAGACCCATATTTGTATAATTTAAGGTTACAGAGTATAGAAACATACGCCATTTTATTCAATAGTAAAGTCAACAATGTTAACATTTTCTACTAAGCTTAATGGAGATAAAACAATTTAAGATCATTATATCAAATAAAACGCAGTCTATTCATGATGTCACTAAAACTGTGTAAATTGTATACTGGGTTATTCCCCGATGAAATATAGATAGAAGCAGTTCATTCGAAAATCATCTGATAGTGTGTAAAGTTCTTCTAGCAAATACATAAACCAGTCGCTGTTTACATATTGCTCCTTGAGATACAGAGAATATGGTATCTGGCCGTGTTGGAAACGTCAGGTTGGTATGTTACTCTGAATAGACGCATTGCATAAAACCTGCCAAATGTTTTTATTGCATATCTGTGACCACATCCCCAAATTTGCCCGAGCAAGAAGGCTCCTTCCCAAACACAGAATTGAATCCAAGAAATGTTCTCAAAAACGCAACCAGACTTCTGAGATGATAATGTGTTCTCCATGATTTCCATGTAACTCATGCTGCACGTACTGTTTACCGGGACCAGCCCTATATAATGGACCCTCATACCTGGTTGAATCATTCTCACTACAAC